AGCGCTGCCACGGCGGTCACGTCGCCCCTGGTCGACGCCGCGAGGTCGTCGAAGTAGAGGCACATGTCGGCCCTCGGGTTCGCTATGTAGCGGTCGTCGATAGCGCCGATGAGCACGAGGGACAAACACAGTCGGCCGAACACGGATCCTGCCACGATCCCTTGCGCCCAGAAGTTGCCCTCGGTGTAACACCCATTCAGCACCACTCTCCTCACCAAAGAAAATACTCTCAATATGACACGCAGCAAGGGCCTTGGGAATCCCCAGCGCAGGCCACCGCTCCAAATGAGAGAATGCAACACGGTCCCGTAGCACTTCCTCAAGTCGTAACATGCGGCGGCGATGGCTTCGCCCTGCGCCAACGACCCTTCAGCTAGGAGGCCCTGCATCCAGGCCGCTCGTTCAGCAGACCTGCCCTTCACTGCCCAATCATATGCTCGTGGATTTCGGCTTTGCCATTTATGGATCCCGGGGCGCCTGATCTTCTCCCATACTCGTACGAGCTCGGGTAGAAGCCCCAAATTCCTCATGCCGCCCTTGGGCTTGGGCTGAAGCCAGAAAATGATGCACTGCTGCGAGACGGGCCAGTCGGATCCGCGCTCGATGCAGTTCAGGATACTCGCCAGGCCTGCTAGGCCAACCGCTGGCCCTTGGGCCCACAGCCCGGGGTGGATGTTGGACTCGCCCAGGCCCGTCTTGGGGGAGAACGCCTTGCAGGCGCGCAGCACGTGGTGGCCGAGGACGGGCGGTAGCATGGACTCGTCTACCGCAGGCGGCTCGAACCATGGCGCAGCCCAGTCCACCTGGTAACGCCATCTGCTCTCCCACTCCTGCAACGCTGTGTTGGCGGCTGTCTGCGGGTCCATCATGGCGACGTGCTGGGACGTCCCACCCGCGGGGGCCGTCTGTGGAGGCTCACCGAGACTGGGTTTTGCCTCCCTCGCATTCTGTGGTATCACGGGCTCCCACGGGACCTCCGGCTTGGTCCACTTGCGCAGGGCCCCCGCGGACTTCTCGCTGTGGTGGCGAACCCATGCCCGCCAGGACTTGGTGGCTTCCTTGAGCTCGCTCTGCCTCGCCTCGTCCGCCTCGCTCGCCGCGACCTGCTGCCAGTACTTGATGTATTCCAGGCTCTCTGTCAGCTCCTGCTGCTCATTCATGCATTCCAGGATGGTCTCGAGGACGTGCGGCCACGGGGTCTTCAGCTCCTCTCCATACTGGTGGAGTTGTGCGAGCGCCCACTGCTGGGTCATCGCCTCCTCGATGGACTTGATGTGGCTCGCCTCCTGGCCGCCTGCCTCGCGCAAGTCGCTGCTGAGGCTGTGGACCAGGTCCCTCAGGATACTCGCCACCCATTCTGTTGCCATAGTCTGCGCCGTCGGGGCTCCCTTGTCCCTGACCGTCGGGGGCGCTAGCTCTCGCATCTTGTAGACAGCCTTTTCGCCATGCCCACTGTGGGCCAGCAGCTCATCGCCGTCAAAGCAGTGATATCTGTTCCAGTGCATCTCGTAGGCGTGCATGAGATCGCGCCAGAAGGCCTTCAGAGTCTCGTGGTCGGCACGCCCCCTACGGAGAGGACGTGGCCACTGCGCTGGTGGGGTGGGGCACCCTGTTGGCACAGTCAAAGGCCATGGTACCTTCTGTATGAGCTGGAGGGCCTGTAGCACAGGCGATCGGCGCCCTATCTTCATCACGATGGGCCTATGGGGCTTGGCCGCAAAAGCCGTCATGACATCAGCTCGAAGCCCATTCTCCAGCAAACTCTCCGAGACGATAAAGAAGTCCCTGACCGAGTAGTTGCCCGTACTTCCCCTGCACGTGCCTTCACTCTTGTCGTAGACCAGGTGCCCCTTCAGCTTGGCGATGATACCCGTGCTCATCAGCTCGTGAGGCTCCATGTTGAAGTCGCCGCCGAGCACCCACGGTTGGCCTGCCACGGCCATGAGCGCCCCGAAGCGGCTGAGCATTGTGAGGTTGCGGTTCGAGGGCCCTTCTGCAACCCAGAGGTACACAGAGCCCACCGCGATGCCGTGCTTGCGGCATGTCTTGACGTAGCCCACACAGAGTCTCCCTGGTGACCCCTTGGGCGAGGCGTCCCACTTCATCAGCTCGGGCAGGTAGGTGATCCCCATGCGGCTTGGCACCGCGATCACCACCCCCGCCCTCATGCCTTGCTTAGTAGGCACACTGGGCTCCACTGCCGCCTTCCAGCCATATTTGATGAGCCTGGCCGACAGCAGCTCTACTTGCTTGGGCGCCAACTGTAACTCCTGGCCGAAGACGACCGGGGCCTCGACCTGGTA